GAGCAGAGGGAACAATTATGAAGAAGATTCACAGAAATTTAGGGCTGGAAGGGACCTCGTGAGATCATTGGGTCCAGCCACAGCCATCAATTGAGACTTAAGATCACTTCCTAGCACCCAGACTTGAACTGCTAGTCTTTAGGGTCCCAGCTCACCACTCAAGCCCTTCAGTCACAAGCCTAAAGTATTGTCAAGAGGGGGATTTGAGCCCAGGCCTCCATCAGAGACCAGAACACCCGAAACCATTCAGCCATCCTAACAAGAAACGACCGAGGATGCCCAGTGATGGGTTATTCACTTCTCTGAGTAGCCCCTACAGGACAATCACAGAGCCAAATTGCTTTTGTACGGGGGCCTCGGTACTCATAAAGGGAAACTATGCAGAATTTCATCCAGAGGATGTCCTCGTGCTTTCCCCACCCTTGCACCTTTTTCAACACCCAGAAAAGGACCTCTACTCCCTCCTGGGAAAGGTTGCTTCAAAAGTGCAGGGTCCTTGCTGCAGAGCAGTACATGGGTGCAATGCCTCGAGCGTGACCAACTCCTGCTGCCAAGGGTTAGCAACAACCCCTGAATTAAAGTGAATCCTCTGGAAAAGGAAGGGGCTGGGGAATAGCAGAGATATCTGCCCTGGAAAGGGTTCTGGTCTTTTCAGATTTCATGGCTCTGGAGAGGACATGGGGACCAACCACAGGGAATATCACGTGTAGTTCTGGGGCTTTCCTAGAAGACGATGCATTACATAGAAGGCAAGGAAGGGGAGGAGGGCAGGGCGAGTAGCGGACACCCGCTGGTGCACAGTTCTGCAGGGAGGCTGAAGAGCAAAACTTGCCAAACTGGCCTCAGGAGGTGGCAGTAGCCGTTCCTTGCAGACACCTGATGGGCATGAGCAGGCCTGGGAGAGGGGTGATGTGGGGGTGAGGAAAGGCAGGGCAGGGAATGCTTCCCCAGCCATAAATATCCTCCTTCCTGCAGCTCCAGAGCAGAACCTGGAACCAGGAGAGAAGCCAAAGCTTAGAGGTGGCCAAGGACAGCTGTCCTGTTTGCCACTTGCAACCGGCTGTCCTGTGCAGGCAGTTGTACTGTGCAGGCACTTCTCCGTCTGGGAGCACGGACTGCTTTTGGAGAATGATGGGAAGGATGACACAGAGATCATCTCCTTACCGATTCCCCCAGCATCTGGGCTGGCCTCTGTCTCCAGTGTTTCCTCGTAACCCCTCCCTCCCAGTTACAACTTGGGGGACAGCCTCTGGGTCCTTTAGTGCCCTGCAAGGTTCAAAAATTGGGTGAACTCTTTCTGCAGTTGACCCATGAGGCTTGGAGGTTGCGGGTGCTGAGCAGCTAGACATCCACAAGCCCTGGAAGAGTTATGGATGCTCCTGGGTGTGGATGCACTGGTGCCGGGCCAGGCTGGAGGACTGGGTGAAGCTCTTCCCACACTCCGAGCACTGATGTGGTTTCTCCCCGGTGTGGACACGCTGGTGCCGGGCCAGGTCAGAGGACTGGCCAAAGCTCTTCCCACACTCAGGGCACCGATGGGGCTTCTCTCCCGTGTGGATGCGCTGGTGCTGGGCCAGGTGGGAAGAGTGGCCAAACCTCCTCCCACACTCAGGACACTGATACGGCTTCTCCCCGGTGTGGATGCGCTGGTGCTGGGCCAGGTGTGAGGACTGGGTAAAGCGCTTCCCACACTCGGAGCACCGGTGTGGTTTCTCCCCAGTGTGGATGCGCTGGTGGTGGGCCAGGTGGGAGGAGTGGCCGAAGGTTTTCCCACACACAGAGCACTGATGTGGCTTCTGCCCTGTGTGGATGCGCTGGTGATGGGCCAGGCTGGAGGAGAGGGTGAAGCACTTCCCACACTTGGGGCACTGATGCGGCTTCTCCCCGGTGTGGATGCGCTCATGTTCGGCCAGGTGGGAGGAGCGGGTAAAGCTTTTCCCACACACAGAGCACTGATACGGCTTCTCCCCGGTGTGGATGCGCTGGTGCTGGGCCTGGTTGAAGGAGTAGGTGAAACACTTCCCGCACACCGAGCACTGATGTGGTTTTTCCCCTGTGTGGATAAGCTGGTGCCGGGCCAGGTGGGAGGAGTAAATGAAACTCTTCCCACACACAGAGCACTGATGTGGCTGCTCCCGTGTGTGGATGAGCTGCTGCTGGGCCAGGTGGGAAGGGCAGGTAAAGCTCTGCCCCGAATCAGGGCGCTGGCGTGGCTTCTCCCCTATGTGGACATCCTGATGTTTGGCCAGGCTGGAGGAGTGGGTGACGGTCTTAGTGCACTCAGAGTACTGATGCGACTGCTCCCGTGTGTGCATGCGCCTGTGCCTGGCCACGGTGGAAGGATGCCTGAAGCTCTTCCCACACGTGTTGCAGTGGTGTGGCTGCTCCCCCTTCTGCCAGCACCGGTGCTGGTTCAGGTCTTTGCAGCAGATTAAATTCTTCCTGCACTTGGTGCAGCGGTGTGCCTTCCTCCCCAAGTGGATGCGCCGGTGCTGAGCCAGGGAGAAGAACTGGGTGAAGGTCTGGCCACACGTGACACAGCGGTACTGACGCTTCTCCCTGTGCACACATAGGTGTGCACACGCCCTCCCCCTGCCTGTGAGGTTTGGATGATATCTCTCTTTCTGGTGAATCTTCCTCTTGGGATTTTTCATCTCTCTGAGCTTCTCAGATTCCTCCCTGCAGCCCCACGTCTTGCTGGGCCTTGCCTTGGCTCCGTTCTCGTGCCCTGCTGGACCCGGCACCGTGTCCACCACCACCTTCTCCCTCTTCTTTTGGGACCCGCCTGGCCTCTTATGCAATCGGTCCTTCTCAAGTCTCGGGGGTTCCCTCGGTCCTGATCTACCTGGGCACGTCCGTGGTGGGTCCAGGTCTGCAGACCCTTCCCCAGCTCTGCTCAGCAGCCAGGCACCTCCTGCGTGAGGAAGAACAACTCAAGATTATCCCTGCGCTGCCCCAAAGAAGCAAACACTGCTCTTCTTTGTGCTGGGATGGGCCTCAGAAAGAAGCCCTTGTCTTTCCTTATGGCGACAAGCTCTTGTTTCAAGGACCCCAGTTATGAAGGATGAGAGACGGGTGGGTCCATATGCCGTGCCCCATCTCAGAGGATTTCGGAGCCAGTTTCTCAGGGTGTCTGTGCCAGCTGTTACCCCAACATCTCAGCCCCATTAGGACAGGACCTGAATGGCTTCCAGCTCTAACGGGCTAAAGATGAGACCAGAAGCATCTGCTTAAAGGAAGAGGGAGGCTCTGCTTAACAGCTACTCGATCCCACAGGCCTGGTGGGTCCAGGGGCTGGCATGCTCCAGAAGCCAACGTGCATCGATGAGACTGCTCTCCCGCACTCGCCCTTGCTCTCAGGCAGTCCTGAGACCACCATCTGGGGACAAGGATGAACAGCCTCACCATACATGCTGGTAAGCATGGGTATAGACTGGTGACACTGCTTACATAGCACGAGTTGCTTCTGCGGTCCAGACAACTGCTGATTCTGACTGGTGGATGAAAAACCAAATGGTTTCATCCCTCCGAGAAACGTCTGGGAAGGGAGGACTTATTGCTGTGGGTCTCTCCTCTGGAAGGAGCAGAGCTCTGCTTCCTACCTGTTTCTAGGGAATGGCACAGTACAGGAATTAAGCGCATGGAGGTTTACTTTGATGACGAGGCCCACGTCACAGAAATCTGCACTGGGACAAAGACCTTATCATTGACCTGCACATGGACTCTGCACTGAGTCTCCGGCTTTGTGAGCCCCAGAGATGAAACCGAAATGGTGAGATGCTGGTGCAAACCACCCTCAACGTGAATGCTTGTGAATCCCACCCACCCCATGGGGCCATTTAATGCAGCTGGGGACCGTGATCCAACACGTCCGGGGCTCCGGGTCGTGCTCGCCAGAAGAAACCTCTACACAGGGCTTCTGCCAGCCATGCTGATTTGCTCAAGGGACCACATGTCCCATCATGCCCTAGGAGAAATGTTAGAGATTTACTACCTGGGGCTGGGGAATCGAGTCTTACACTGTTGAATGAAGGTGGAACTTTTAAGATCACGATATGTCAAGGAAACAAGGGCTGTGCCTAAAAATCAAGGCAACAAACTCAATTTTCCCCTAACAGCTGGAATCAGGGGGAGAAGAGAGGAACAGCTGCTCGACTCCAAAGCTTTGAGAGTAGGAACAGCATTTGCCTGGGCACACGACAGCATGAGCTAGCTGAGGTCGTGGATCTGCACTTTCTAGGCCCCCTGTCACTCTAGGCATGAAGTATTTCTGAGACAGGAGTCGGGCGCATCCATAACTCACCTGGCAGCAGGTCCTCCGACCCAGAGATTTCTCCATGGTCCTCACCATCCCGGACCCAGAGCTCCACCTTTCCTCGCTGGATGCAGCAGATTAAGTCAGGTGTGGGACCTCGATATCCTGTTTGGGGCAGCGGATAAAGAGTGTTTATGGCTGGGCATGGGATGGAGAATAACCAACCGGGATCTGGAGAAAATGAACCTGACAGAGTCGCCAGGGACAGCGCTGGAGATGCAGCAATCTGTGATGTACTAGACAGCAGAAAAGATCAACCTTGTAATTAATATTTTCAAGCTACAACAATTAAGAGACGTCGGAAATGCTTTTAGATCGATAACGTTTATCCTATCGGTGTCATTCCAGGCAAAGGAGTGGAAATGAGTTTATTCTCAGAGAAGAAGAAAAGAAACCATGACGGATGTCTTAACAATGAAAGGCTTTTCCGGGAACCATGAACAGGGCACAAGAAAGGATGACTACACAGACTGGCAATACTGTAGAGTTGAAAACAAAGTTCCTGGGAGTTGTGGGTATAGAAAAAAGGCGGCAGAAGGAGACATATTTTACTGCGTGCAAAAGCCTGTGATGTCAAAATGATCTAGATGGTCGTTGTTGACTTGGGAAAAGCATTTGAGAACTCCCCCAAGGAAGTCCTTTGTGGGAAAGGGGGGGGAAAGGAAGCACCAGAATAGCAGATCGACCTAGAAAAAGGTAAGTAACTCAAACCAGCGTTTCCCAAACTTTTCCAGCCCAAAGCACTCTTACATTCATACAAATTTCCCACGGCACACCTGCTAAGGTAGCATTCCCCATCCTCATACCTATGAGCTCATTGTAGCTCATGGCCGTGGCCAAATTCTGCAGCACACCTATTCATTTTTGACGCCATGCCGGTCGGGAAACACTGCCTCAACGTGGACACAAGCCAAAACGAAGCCCTGAGTTCGACATCTGGAAATGAAAATTGGTTTTCCCTAGCCCCCTTCTTTTCATCACACTGACGGGCATCTGATATGCAGAGGGAGAGGACAAAAAAAACTTGTGAGAATGGCCAAGTGAGCGTGAGAGCACAGGCAAAGTAAATGCAGCAAAGTCAACCTGCGGTCGATGAAGATGTTAGAAAGGAGCGTGGACAGAAATTTCCAATGGCTCCTTGTTAGAAGTACCTGGGTCCCAGCCTGTGTACCTGTGTCAGCTGAGGAAACGCATATCAGAAGCACTCCCCAAGGAACGGACGGCGCTGAATTTAACGCGCAATGAATTTGAGAACGTATGAACCGGCCGAGAAGGCAAAGGGAGATCACGTTACCAAGAAACTGCTGAATATGCCAGCACCAGCATGTACAAGAATGGGGAAAACTCAAGTGAAGGTGACTGACTGGACCAAATGAAGGAAGATATATAGATATGAAAGGCAAGAGGTCTGATCAGTAACAGAGCACTGGGGAGGAGGTCAATTTAAACCACCAGCCAATGCTCATGAGAATGAGACTGTTGAAAAACAGGGAGAAGACAGTAAACTTTAGAGTTCACTTGGCTCCAGGAAGAAGCAAGAAAAGGAGCTTTACCCAGGGAAACGAGGGCTTGGTAATTCCTCAGCATCTGGTCCCGGTAAAGCCCCTTGTCTCCATCGTCCAGCAGCGCCCACTCCTCCCGGGTGAAGTACACGGCCACATCCTCAAAGGCGTCCCGGGGCTGCAGACACAAGTGCGCAGCCACCATTAATATTTCCTGCTCTAGCTGCTTCCAGCCCCCACACCCTATCAGGAATTACTCTGTCCTACAATATTTGCAAGCTTGGCTATGACAGGTAGGGGTGCAAAATTCCCCATTATTCAGCTGACGTGTGATGTGGACACAGCTGTGGACATAGGAGTTAGTGCATCTGCCTTAGCCCAACTCATCATATTCTCTCCGCTTGGTCCTCGGAGGAAGCCCAGGCAGCACTTTCAGAAGCAGAGACCTGGCTCTATGGACTGTGACCGTGCCTTTCAGTGCCAGCACCTCTGCCTGTGTGAACTTGGGAGTGAGCTCCTGATACGGCCAGTTTGGTGCTTTTGCAGCTTATCACCAGAGACGTGTCTCTCTTCAGGTCTCCCCAGTCCCCAAATTCTTCCCAGTACCCCTCCATCCTCCTGGGCTTTGCTCCAGCTGCACTCCCACCCCCAAGTGCAGCCAGTGCCCAGCTCACCTCCATGCTCCCCCTCTGCTTGGAAGGCCTGTCCTGCCGCGGCCACACCTGGTCCAGCTCAAACGTTAGGGAGCCCCCTTTTCCCAGTCTCCCCGGGGAAGTCCTCTGCAGCTCCAGCTTTACAGGCCCTTCCTCGGGAGGCAGCTGGTCAGCTCTGGTCAGGGTCCCTGCACCTGCTGGGTGGGGGAAATATCCACAGGTTAGCCTGGGTGCTGCTGGCAGGAGGGAAGCCCTGCCATTCCCCTGTACTGGCCTGTGAATAAGGCAACCAGAGACTTGGGCGTGTGGAAGAGGGGGCGAGAAGGAGGATTCAAAGTCCCACCGCTCTTTCTAAAATAGACCTGCACAGGCAGGGAGCCGGAGATGAGCCACAAGAACTCTCTCCCAGGGCAGGGTGGCGATCACAATACCATGCGAGAGACTGCAGGGACATTGCTCCGCGAGGGATTTTGGTGCTGGGGCGGCATCCACATTTTAATGGGAGGGGAGGACAGGGCAGATTCAAGGTTCATCTTCTCCAGGGTGCGTGCAATGCTTGCAGGGGCGCTGGGAAAGCAAGGAAAAGTGCTCTGTTGGAGCAGTGACTGCATCAAAATGCTCCGGCAAAGAGATTTTCTCACTGCTGGATGGTGTCTCCTGCTGCTGGAAAGGGTAAAACC